GCTCCCGGCGCTGAGACCCTTTTCACGCATCAGCACGTGCTCTCCAGTCAGAAGATCCTCTGATATCTGCACTGCTGGGCTGTCAGGGCAACTAATGCCGGCGGACGGGACCCGGGCCGGATCCGGCCCTGACTGAATCCATTCGCCGCCGGGTACCCCTCCCCACCGACAGATGGCTGGACAACGGGCACAATCTTATCCGCTGGCAATATTGCCACACGGCAGCTGGACCCACTACATCGGTCCGTGCTATATCGAGTGACCACCAGCAGCCGGCTCACGCGCCATTTCCATTGGCGGCAGAAGACAAAGGCCAAGGATGCAAATTGTTAAAAAGTTGCGATAATGCTCTATGTGCAAATAGCTAAAAACTGGGGTTGTTTGTCACGTGAATCAGATTTGCAAACGATTAGCATAAAGCTGTCAAAGTGATAAAAGGCATGGATAAGCTTTCCAGAAAAAGAGAGCTTTCGTGATATCTGCTGCTGAACCTGCTGTTCAGCAGCAGGTACGGCAGTTGACAGCTGGGAACTGCTATTTCCTGCAATCAGCAGGAAACAGCAGGTCCCAACAGTCAACTGTATAAGCTAGTATCAGTACCAGAGCGACAAAATCAACACCGCCCTATGCCTGTAAAAAGCAAATACAAATACTGTCACATACGCACAAGCTATTGACGTTGTGGTCGACACAGGATAAAATCCCCTCCTGTCCCCTTCATAAGCAGATCCTGGGGGGGGAGGGGAGGGCCACGAGGCCATGCCCACCCAAAACATTCCCAGAACTTCATAAAAGTTTCGTCTACTTACCGTCTGTTTTAATTTTGATGGTGCGGTATCAAACATTTCTTTCCGTTTCGGAAAAACTTCATGAAGAAATGTTGGCAGCGATTTGAATATGAAAACAGAACGCATGTTGACGCATCTTAGTCATATTCGGCGCAAACATCGTGTTGGGTAAGCATGATAAGCATTTGAGATAGTAAATGACGAACGGTTGCCCCCCCCCCCCCCCCCTCAAACTCCAGGCTAGATCCGTCCCGGACCCTCTTGCACTCCAACCAAAATTATCCCACGTCGCTCACGAGAGGCCAGGAGCTCACCAGCATGTTCATTAGGAGGTTGTACTCTATTTGCATTTACACGTCAGTCCTCTCCCCTGTGGCATTGATTCGGCATACAACATTGGCGATCTGTGAAGCTCGGTTTGAACACCACTGTTTAACTCTGAACAGGAAACGTCAAAACGCAATTTGACCGCGTGCTTACCCAGCGGTATGAGCAGTCGGCGCGTGCGCATGCGCATGCGCACGCAGGGCATCTCCGAGATGTCCATTGAAGCGACAGCGGGCCGGATGCCCGCTCTCGCCCGCGCTTGGTCACCCCACCCCGCTGCTTCACACAGGATGCGAGTGATTCTGAAGGCGGCGTCTTTGATCCTGCACCTGTCACAAAGGTGGCGTCTTTGATCCTGTACCTGGCAGAAGGCGGGTCTTTGATTCTGCACATATCAGAAGGCGGCGTCTTGGACCACACCCATGTTACAAAGACCGCGTTTTTGATCCCGCATCCGTCACGAAGGCGCTTGATTTTGGCGCCTTCGAAAGCGCCACGAAGGGGCCTGAAGATCTTTGATTCTGCACCTGTCACGAAGGTGACGTGTTTGATCCTACAGCAGTTACGAAGGTGGCGTCTTTGATCCTGCACCCTTCACGAAGACGGCGTCTTTGATCCTGCACTTGTCACGAAGGCCGCAATAGCACGCGCATCACTTCCGGCTCTCAGGTGGCCTTGGCTGGGGATTGTCTCACCGGTCGGATGTGGAATGTGGCCCACGGACCCACACCCGGCGAATCGTCGCCTTTGAACTTGGGACCATTACAACAACCTGTATTACTACTGCTTTTGCAATGTGCGGCAGGACCATTGAAATCGGGCTCGAGTGGGTGTCCTTTACTGCGGCCGAATCTTTTAAGTCAAGCTTGTGGTCGGTTAGCACCCGTGTGGTTGTGGACGTGAGTCACAGCAGGGACAATGGACGCCCCTCTTTCTGGGTATGCGCGTTCCTGTTTCTCAGTTCTCTTGGGGCTTGAGTCGAACAGCGGTACGGTGTGTTTCACCTGCCAGACATCAAAACGCTGTGGTGTGCACCAACAGACACGGCCAATTGCACAGATTTGGCTGACCGTGCGCAGTCGCGTGCTACTCCTTTGCGTAATACGAAACATTCAGCCTAACATCCAGCCAGATCCCGACACCGCCTAACACTCAGCCAGATCCCCGGCACTTCCTCAAAAACACAAGCACAGAACCAACCTAAGGAACTCCTCATTTCGCGAGCTCCATACCAATCACGACACCTCGCTGCGCGGGGTGCCGAAGTCACGGGCGTAAGTAGAGCCGGAGAGCTCCAGGTCCGGCTGCCGCCACTCAGCCGCTGCCGACCGCTGGGCAGTGTCACATATGCGCTGACGGCCGTGCGTTCAGAGGAGGGGAGGGGGCAGCGGCGACAAAGATCGGCAGTCTAGGCATGGCTCACACCCTTCGTCACCTCTGAATCTCCGGTGGTCACCGGCCCCCCCCCCCCCCGGTCGTTGACCCGCGGCAGGGCATGCCCACACCCCGGGGCAGTGTTGATCTGCCTTCCAACGGTTGTCGCTGGAGCGGAGCTGAAGAGGAGCATGGTGGAGGGAGAGGTCCCGCGTCATTCGTGTGTTCAGCGCTCTGGCCGGGATGTAGTGTCCTATCAATTTGGGGAGGCAGGGGACGTTCCTACTTTTAGCTTCAGCACTCCGAACTTTGACGATAAAGTGGGCCAAATATGTGGAGAAACTCCTTGTTGTCGACTTTTGGGGTGGATTTCGTCATTTTTCCACTGCATTCCCCCCCCACACACACACTCATTTTGCGACCGGGGCTGTTTTGTCTGACACCACAGTGTTTGTGTGTTTCTTTTCTCGTCACTCATGGGGCGTGAACCCATCATTCATCCGTTCGCCTGTCGGACCTCCCATATATTGTTTGCGTGTATGTCCGTCCGTCATCCCTCTGTCATCCGTCTGTCATCCGTCTGTCCACACGTTTGTCGAAATGGCGTCTGCGCGTCGGCCGGCCGACCGCCCTTCACATTCGTCACCCGCGCACTAGAGTACGCGAATGACGTCATTCACGCCTCGTCATCTTTCCTTGCATCACTCTCGTTCGCCACTCGCGCACCCGTCTGAGGCGTTTCACGCATGCTTGCCGTCCGCGCTGCCCCCCCCCCCCCCCCCCCCCCCCCTCCGTCATCGCTGTCGACTCTTCGCCTTCACGCCCGCCCAGCCGCGGTCTGATGCCAGCGGCGCCCGTGGCCTCCGGCCCGACACCGGCCTGCCCCGCAGCACAATAGGCCTCCATTGTGAGCCCGCTCCTCGGCGGAGCTCTGCAAGAGGCCGCGCTCGGCTATTTGGTGGCCTCGTTTCGTCATCGACACCCGGCGTAGCGTGCCGAGACCGAGGCCGAGCCGGGTCCCATCAGTCCCGCCTCAGCCGGCACTTCAGCGGCCGGCTGCATTGACACAGCGTCCCCGATGCATCTCCTCACCGCTGGCCACAGCCGGCTGCATCCGCCGGTCCAAGCCTGAGCTACTAGCGGCGCTGGCGATGAGGCCATAGGCCTGTCATTCAACGCAGGCAGTTACGGCGCCTGTTTGCCTGTAATTAGGACATCCCACAGTCGATTTGCTTGTTTGCGAACGCAACTACGAAAACGACGCCGGAAAAGTGATGCATCTTTGCAAACATCTGTTTTGCATTTTGCTCTCCTGTTCTCCCCATCTCACACCGCTCGCCACCTCCTTCACTCCTTCTTCCCCTCCCCTCTCTCTCTCTCTCTCTCTCTCTCTCTCTCTCTCTCTCTCTCTCTCTCTCTCTCTCTCTCTCTCTCTCTCTCTCTCTCACCTCTCCCCTTTCCATACATTCTCTGTGTGTCTCTATCTCTCTTTCTTTCCTCTCTCTAACTACCTGTCTTTCCACCCTACACCCTTCCACCTCGCTAACTCTACATCTCTCCGTCTGTCAGTCTCTCCATCTTTCCCACCCCTTCTCCTTCCTTCCTGCCAGTTCCCTAGCTCTCCGCCTACCCTGGGCCTCGCAGCAGCCTCCAGACGGCAGCAATCTCCGCCCAGCTGTTCGGTGACCTCCCCTGCTCCTCCGCCAGAGGTGTTGACGCACAACACCGCCAGCTCGTTTATTCGTCAATCGTGTCAATCGCCAGCACCAGTACCTCTCCAAACGCCGGAGGGTGGCGCCAGGGGAGGCTGATGAAGCGCTAGTGACTGCTCAGCGGCTCCAGGGTAAACACTACTCGCCGGTGGGCAGGAGTGCCTCCTCCACCCCCCCCCCCCCCCCCCCCCGCTACCTCGCCCACTAGCGACCCTGACCTTGGGGCGACTGTTGCCTTTGGCTGACGGCTGGCCCGGGACGAGGGCTCGGGTTCAGGGCGTCCGACGCCGGCAGGGTGGATGTCTCGTGCCCCTCCCCTCCCCCCCCCTCTCCGGTGCGGCGTGACCAGGACGCAGTCGGTGACTCGAGGCGGGAGGGGGGGGGGATATGGGGGCTGCACGTCCTCGCGGCCACCGAAGCGGTGGTGCCGGTGATATGTTTGAGGCTGTGACAAACACCAAGCCCTCTGGTTAATGACAGGGTTTATGACAGTGACAGTGACAGGTGACAGTGGACAGGGCCTAGTGACAGTGCTTCAGTGCCGCATCTCACGGTGGTAGCGGTGGATTCAAGTCAAACTGCTGCGGCCCTGTCGATTTCCAGCGCACCACTCAGATGCTGCCACCTAACGGTGACCTTAAATGTCGCAGGCGAACGGTGGCAGTCCTGCCGAGCGGGTCTGTTTGACGGTGCCGCCACCTAACGAAGCTTTGTGACACGTCACGTAAACAGCGGCAGTCCTGCCGAGCAAGCAGGCTTGACAGTGAGAGCCATCTAACGGTGAACTCCTGCACTGCAGGTGAACGGCGGCAGTCCTGCTGAGCGGGCCGGTCTGAGGGCCGGCGACGCCGTCATCAGCATCGGCGGGCAGAACGCCATCGAGATGCGCCACAAGGAGGCGCAGGACTCCATAGTTCGCTCCGGCAACAACATCTGCATGGTCGTCCAAAGGTGGGGAACTGCGGGGATCAGCAGCCGACGTGCCGCGTCGAGCGCTGCCGCTCGGAAGCAGAGTGGAGCGCCCGGGCTCCCGCGGCAGGGGGTACCCGCAGCGTGGCTGCCAGGCACGCACTGCTGACCGCCGACCCGACGGACGCTTGGCCGTCTGTCGTCAAGGTCTACTGGCTGGAGTCATCCGGGAGACGGAGACCACTACAGCGGCGCGTGCGCAGACGACGGCAACGTCCCGTGTGCAGATGGCGACGACGTCCGGTGTGCAGATGACGACGTCCCGTGTGTAGATGGCGACGATGTCCCGTGCGTAGATGATGACGACGTCCCGTGTGCAGATGGCGACGTCCCGTGCGTAGACGACGACGTCCCGTGTGTAGACGACAACGACGTCCCGTGCGTAGACGACAGCGTCCCGTGCATAGATTACGACGACGACGTCCCGTTGGCAGAGCGCAGCAGCGCAGCCGCTCCATTCCTGGCTTGCGGTCCATTTCGACCTCTCATCACCTGACACAAGGCTGGATGGGGGCCAGTCGGCTCAAGCCGCTACCCGCCCTCACCCATCAACCGACGTAGGCGCCTGTGCAGACAGCCGGTGTGTTCCTCTCAGTACAACCCTGGGAAGGTGGCCTGCTGTCCAGTTCGCCCTCACCTTGAGCCGACCTGTCAGGCATGGTCGTCAACCAATTATCTGACCGGTCCCACCCGCCACCTGCCACGACCCCAGCAGGCACCAGGGTGTACTTGCGGCGTCCCGTGACGATACGTGCCTCCTGCCGTGTCCATCCTCGTGACTTTACGATTCCCCATTGTGTCTATCCCCACGAAGCTACGAGCCCCGCTGTGTCCATTTTCCTGTGACGTCACGAGCCCCCTCCTTGTCATTTCCCGTGACGTCACAAGTCTCTGCTATGTCCTTTCCCATGACGCCACGAGTCGCCGTTGTGTCCCTCCCCGTGACGTCACAAATCCCCGCTGTGTCCTTCTGCGTGACGTCACGAGTCTCTGCTGTGCCTTCCGCGTGACGTCACGAGTGCCCGCCGTGTCATTCTACGTGACGTCACGAGTCCCCTTAGTCCTTCCCCATGACGTCACGAGTCCCCGCTGTGTCCTTCTGCGTGACGTCACGAGCCCCGCTGTGTCCCTCCCCGCGTCCCCATCTCGGCGGGACCTCTCGGCGGAACCCCGCCCGGTGCCGTACGCCAGCCGGGCGCCAAGTTTGCGCCGCGTATTAATAGCGCTTGGCCCGCTGTGCGCTATTTCCACCGCCGGGGTGGGCAGAGGCACGCCCAGGCCGTCGGGCATGGGGAGGTAATGTGATGGCCTCGTGAGCAGGCGCATCGGAACGTGCCAGGTTGCAAGGCCCTCTGAATCGACTCAATGGTGAACCTGTGCACCAGGCGCCGGCGCTTTGCACTGAGGCGTTTGCCTGAAGGCTGGACGAATTCGGCGGTAGTCGGTGTTTATGGCTTGGAGAGGGAGACAGGCGAAAGGAAAAAAGTGGAAAGCGGAGACGCGCTTTCCATGCAATTTTATCAGCGCTTCCTGGAAATATATCTCCCGGCCCCCACTAAACCATTCTACACCCCAGCCAGCTGATTGGCGCAAATGGCTGTTACGTCATCGGCGCGTCTCGGTGGTGATTGGTGGCCGGGCGATCTGAGCTGATCTGGGTAAACACGCACACCGCCAGCAGACGGACAGCGCAGGGAATTAGCTAATACCATTTGGCAGCGCCATTTGGAAGCTGGATGATGATGTCTGCACTTCGGGAATACTTCGGGCAAGGGAGACTCTCCGACACGAGTTCTGAAAGCTTCTGAATAGGATCGAACTCCTGCTTGCAAATGAAAATTAGCCTGCCCTCATCCATCCATGTTGTTATAGCATGCATTATACTTTCTTGTTGACCTCGTATTGCTATTATATTACCAGCTGTTATGCCTAATTCTCTTTTCTTTTGCACACTTCCTTACCATCGATAACCTGCCGTTAATTGCGTCAATCACCTACTTCTTGACGTTCACGTTAAAATAATAATCTACCGCTTCCCACTCTCACCTCAACTTATACCTGCCTCACCTAATGCAAAGGCCCTAAACCCAGCATTTAAGAGTCACGACCTGTTGATAATTCAATTCGAATTTTCAAGTTGAGAATTGGTGTGGATTTAGATGCAGACATTGACCGCGGATGTTGGTTACTCAGCATACCCACCAACACCTGAAAGGCTGTACGCCACGTGCAAAAATCACAAATTTCTGTCATTGCTAAGAGCAATGCCCACACGTGTCGACCCGTGGCAGCCGTCCTCATCGACCACCTATCGACAACAGCGCCATCAGGGGGCAACACTGCCAACCTGAAGTGTGTTAGACCACCGCCGCCCATCGGCGGCACGTTTGGCCCCGGGCCAGCGTTCTGTCTCCGGATGGCGTTAACTAGGCCTCCGTAATCAACGCCTCCCTCTTGTTCCTCAGCGGCTGTGTTGGAACTGCACCCAAGTCAACATTGTGCGTTCAAAGCCAATTAGCATGCGGGAAACCTGTCTGTGTTTGGATTGAGCTGTGCACGTGCTCGCCACTGTGTACGACATGAGCGTACAAAGACTCGCGAGTGGGATGTCATGGAGCTGAAGGAAGACGCCTCCACACTGCTAACGAAAACAGTTCTGACTATCTTATGGGGTGCAAATATAATTTAGTTGAAAGCAGCCTTGCTAGTCGCTTTTTGGAGCTCTTCTCATGACTCTGAATGCTATATTTTGCCTCCCGAAACTCAGCGGCGACGGCCGGTTTTGCGGTGGAACTGCATGGGCGTATTTACCGCCAAGGCCGGTAGGATGCGGACCCCAGTTATCTGCCCGTATTTCCTTATGCCGCATCCTTACCCTCGTCGACGTACGCCATCCTTATTTTTGTCCCCATTCCGGCGTCATCCTGCATCCTCGCAGGACCCCGTGTGTCCGGGGCCGGCTGCGTGCGCCAGCCGTCAGTGGACGAGTGCCCTCTGGTGGGCCCTGTCCAAGCACGAGTGCCCTCTGGGTGGCCCCGTCCAAGCAGGAGTGCCCTCTAGGTGGCCCCGTCCGAGCACGAGTGCCCTCTAGGTGGCCCCGTCCGAGCACGAGTGCCCTCTGGGTGGCCCCGTCCAAGCA